ATCAATGCATGTTGCATGCACTACGTCAACAACCTTGGACTTGTCTTGGTGTTTCCTTCCGTGCAACGTTGCCGAAGTAAAGTATCCTTTTCTTTGCTTCTATGTATAATATCCTGATGCCTTCCGTGTATTGCACGTGTACTTCATACAGGAGCTTAACAAACTACGGACTCCAATCTGATCCTTCTCTGTGCTCCTTTTGCTTTCTTTTCTTCGCACATGATCCTTAACAGGCTCCATTCATAAATCTTTCGTCTTCAATAAAGATTGTACTAGATAGATCCGTAAGTCAAATTTAGGTGTCAATCAAGATGTTGCTGCAGAAGGGTCCCAGGTGCCAGGATAAATCTGTACCAGATAAATTCAGCACATGTTTGGTAACTCGTAACTTTCACAGAACATGCTTGGTAACTCACTCATACGAATCTCAATGACATGCCAGAACAGTTTTATGTTCCAATAAATTACTACACCCCACCACCAAATTCAGAAATTAGTATAAGTTATGTTCTTGTTTTAAGTTTTAACATACCCAAGTTACTCTCTTGCTCAATATCTACTCTCCAGCTCAATATCCACATCTTTTTTGGTTATACTCCTCCGTCCCAAATTATAAGCCACTCTAACTTTCTTATAGAGTCAAAACATCTCAAGTTTGACCAAATTTATATAATAAAATAATAACATTTAATTCTTCATTAATTATATTTTTCAGTAGTATACCTATTTGTTATCATAAATCTTTGTAATTCTCTCTGTAATTTTGATCGAACTAAGATGCATTGACTCTTCAAGAAAGTTGGAATGACTTATAATTTGGAGGTCGGAACGGAGGAAGTATACATTCTTATAAGCCAATCTATAACACTCTCTTCTCACTCAAATAGCTCACACAATACCGATCAAACAAAATAGCTCATACAATACACATTCTTCAAAGATAATTTTTCAAAGATGTCCAGCAAAACAGAGACAGCAGGGGCACTAGTAGAACTCTGATCTCACCTGAGGCAACTTTTCTATGTCAGAAACCAACACTAGTGACTTACATGCATTTCTACCTGTTCAACTATCCATGTATACTCTCCAATTGCTCAACTATATACAAGAGTTTGGACCATTTATTTGTACCGAGAGGGCGAGATAGAAAAAATGAATCAAAACTAAATAGTGTGAACTACCATGACCGGTGGGTAGACTCCAAGTCTCAACCGGTGGTCACATGACATAACTCCAGTTGGGCCATCTTGTACTCTACACACAAGATATTTTACACTGCTTCAACATTAAACCTGAGAAGAGGACCCTACAGGTTTTATGACCATTATTATATGTTATATGTCCTTCATAGACAATGGCAAGATGGAAAATTCCTAACATGTTGAAGCACAATTTTATAAGGCATTTCCTATATAAAGCCAGCCATGCACTGCAGAATCATATCACACACAGCAAAGCCTCAAAACGTGATCAGAGCAAAGAAAAGAAAGGTGAGAGTGGGAGAAAAGAGATATAGCCCATAGAACATGGCTCTTATAGCCGATGAACTCAAGACCAAGGCTGAGGTCTACTACGGCGACGAGATCTGCCAACTGTGTACCCAGCTCTTGCTCAGGGAAGCAGGCCTCCCCAATGGTCTGCTTCCATTGAAGGACCTAATTGAGTGTGGTTATGTCCAGGAAACTGGATATGTGTGGCTCAAGCAAAGCAAGAGGGTTGACCACACCTTCCAGAGTCTAGGAAGGCTGGTCTCTTATGGCACAGAGATCACCGGCTATGCTGAGAAGGGCAGGATCAAGAAGGTAAAAGGGATAAAGACCAGGGAGCTCATGGTGTGGGTCCCAGTGGAGGAGATTGCTCTTGATGATCCAGCAACTGGGAAGCTTATCTGCAAGAGCATTGCTGGGATTACCAAAACCTTCCCTGCATCAGCTTTCCATGTCCCAGTGAAGGAGAATGTGAAGATGAACTGTGCTGCACCGAAACCAGTGGTCCTCATGGAGAGAGCTCCACGAGTTGTTAAAAACAACTGAGCCTTCTGCATCCACCACTGGTATTTGGATTTAACGGTCATCATCAGCCCTTAATCCTACATATTTAAATAATGATTGAACTAGTGCTTTATTGTCTGTCTATGTACTTCGAAAGTGATAACCCAAAGTTCTTCCTATATACTGCAGTTGTATGATTGCCCTGGCATCTAATGTCCTGTAAGGCAACCTCCGAACTTCCTTTCATGTACTATGTAGCTCTATATTACTAATATGAAGCATGTTGTGGACTTCTATGAGATGTTTCCTTTTTTCTCTTTGCAGAGAAAATATCACCGCATGATTACTTTTCCATGTACTATACGAATAAAATAACACCTTTGGAGATATACCTCTATATTACTAATATCTTTTCAGAGAAAATACCATTACATGATGCTTTCCTGTCATATTTTTCATCATATTTTCAGACGACACAATACTATGAAGTGTTATGTATTTTTTATTTTCCATCTTTACTTCACAAAAAAAAAGACATGAAAAGGCATGTGAATAAGAAGGAACAAAAAGTCTAATCTATAAAAGGGAAAATAATATTTGCATGACTTGTAATTATGATCTATAAATGGTCTTTGCAACCATTTGTTGTTGTTGCAATAATAGACTTTAGCAGGTGCACAAGTGGAAGATGAAAGTTTTACCCACGAGATTAAAATACGAGACAGTCAAGGTTAGCTAGCTATACAAACCATCAAGTAAGGTGGTAGGGACCATTTTCCTGTTTATAGAATCAGGATCCTAGGACGTTTTCCTGTTTATAGAATCAAGATCCTAGGACTGTATCATCAGACCATGGGATGATCAACAAAATCATGATTATTCAAAGTACAATTCGTTGGCTTCTATATTATGAGGTTTTCCCACTACAAAATGTCATTTTTGGATACATGCAAGTTTGCCTTCCGAAATACTTTTATAATACTAATGACTTACTATGATTTAAAGATGTACTAAATATAGATGCTGCATTTTGGAGCCCATGCTGATGCCCAAAACCAAATGATATGCTTTTATGGATTGAGGGAGCGAGATCAAACTAGGGTTAGGATCAAAGTGGTCCAATAGACAGTAGGGCTGTGAGACCATACCACAAAAATCAAGACCGAACAACCTTGATGACAAGGAAACTCAATATATGTTATTGCTAAGACTCGGTATAAGATTGTTTAGCACCAAGAGATCAATGATTAACATGTCCAGTAGTTCAGCTTCAAAAGGATGTACTCCCTTCGTCTACGTTCCCGTGGAGAGACTAGGAATATGTGAAATTACCAATATACCCCTGTCTGTGATCAACCACCCTGCACCAGATTCAGGCCCATTCATGTCAAAGCCGGCCAGTGGTACTCAGCCACCACGGGTGGTGCGTGGCATGGGCGAGCTCGGCCCCCTCCGCCAGAAGCTTGTGCAAGCAGCCTTCCAGCGGCGCGTGGGGTTGGGGCGGTGGAGCCTGAGGAGGATCGCACGGGGGGAGAAGACCAGAGGATTCGTGGATAGGAACTAGCTCGAAGGAATCTTTTTTTTTTTTTTTGAGGAAAAACAGGAGGGTGCAAGCCCCTACTGTGCTTTTATTAATGAAAGAAAGTGTTTACAACAGGCATTACGAGACAAAAAAAAGTTACAAAGAAAATCATAGCCCGAAGGAATCTTTACTATATTTTTTCCAAAAAAAAATCTTTTACTACGGATCCCACTGAAATTGCATCCTTTTACACGGACGGAGGGGGTAGTTACAGCAGAGTGCATGACCAACCCTATCAGTTGATATCAGGATATGCACATACCACAAATGTAGTTGTCCTGTACTATGTAATGTAGCCTACATACAGAAGTTAGTGGACTGGTTCCTTCATAGAAGACATACACGGCCTTTAGAGAAGTTCCCAAAAGTCAGGTAAGGACCAGAACTGTTACAATAAGATATGGCGGTACTAAATTTTGAGGACGGGAGGAGCACTTGAAACCATGAGCTTGTAGAGGATAGATCTGCATTGATCGCACCGAATTCTTAAAATTGGCCAACACTGTTAGGCATAATCGCTTTGTGCATCAAAGTACTATGAAACCAGACCATCTCCCATCCTACACCCACCCCGTTAAGGACGAATTCAATTACAGAACCAAATAGCCCCTGCATGGCTACATGTGTCAACTTCACTTAACGAGAATAATTGGCTATCATTGTACCTTCTGCTGACAGGTTTTATCTCAATTTTTACTCAAAAACCTTCGCACCCCAGTTAAATCATTTGTATGCCACTCACCTCATAATGGCATTGGTAAATATCCTAACTGTGACCAAGCCAGCTTACTTTATGATAAAATTTCATTTCTTTATGGAGACTATGGTCAATGATATATAATGGATAATAAAAATTATAAATGTGGGAAGATAACTCATGCATGACTGATGCATGGTGGATATACTTATACAGGGGATTACTTGGAAAAATAGTGTCAGAGTTAGTTTGAAACTCCTATAATGATAGTACGTCTGATCATGTGATGGATGCAGGGATTTAGACCAGAAATAGCAGCCATTAACTCACATGACTTGAATGTGTATATTCACAAAGACGTTAATGAATCACAGAGGATTAGACAACAATGTCTTTGTTGCCCACATGGTCAGTCAGACATTTCTCCATAAGGCATCTTCCATTAAGAAGTGCAAGACATGGGTCTTAGCAGATGTAGATATTTTGAGTTGGTAAAACAAAATTTAGTAGGATATGGGTCCACATGATGCTAAAACAGCCAAATCTTCAGTCAAATGAAGAATTTAACATGCAAATAATTCCAGAGGAGATAATAATAAAAAAAAAAAGAAAGGTATATATAAGATACTTACTGCCATGATAAATAGTGCACATTGCAATTTATCCACAAAAAAGAGAAACTTCTGCTTCACAGAACTTTTTATTTACTTTATCTAGAGGACAAATCATGCTACTTACCTACAGAAACAAGAGCAAGCAATTTTAGATAGATGATATATGGTGAAAGGGAAAAATCAAAAATCAGATTCTGAAATTCTCTCGACTCACCAACTAGAGTAACAAGCATCAGGGAGAAATAGCATAAGAAATATCCTCATACTCAATGTAATGAATCTTCTTCTTGCGCAAAATTGGTGAAAAAATGGATCTTATAAAGTGACTGAAAGGATCCTGCAAGCCTTCCATTTCATAATGACCAAATCGCCAATCCCGCAATATGAATGATCTCTGGATAGGCCGATCTAAACCCCCTGAAGAACAAAAGGCTCATTTTTCTTAGGTGGAGACAGCAACCACAGTTTATACCAACTAAAATTTCTATTTCAGCTAGGTTTTTTGTCTCTCTATATGCCCTTTGGTAATTATGTAACTCAACTGTATCAAAAAAAATTATGTAACTCAACTGAAGGAGTTGTGGTATGAATTCAATATAAGAAAAACTAACATGGAGCGACACTCTCGACTCCAAGAAGCCTGAAGGCAGTAGCCATTGGCATATTTTACAATATGTCAATAGTTTTTGTTTATCCTACTTATCAAGTTGTTTTAAGAGAAACAAGCCATTACCCATGAATAATGTCAATTTAATAATATAACAGAATGTTTCGGAAGAATCAGCACATACCTGCATACATCCGACCATGTTTATCTACAGCCCTGAAAAATGGGCGTGTTTTCTTCTGAAATGCTGCTTGTTGCAGCTCCTCCAAGCACCCAGCCTGTCCTGTCTTGTAATTTTCCCAGTTCTAACAACCTGAAGTTCAAGTGCATTTTGTTAAGATCATCAGAGAAACACCAAATGCTCATACGGAAAAAAAAAAAGAGAGAGAAATTAAATTATCACAAGTCTGCACAATTTATGCAAAACAAGGGACCCAAGAAACAAAATGCACAAACATTACAAATTTGTTTTATACTTTTGCGGACAATGTGTACACAGGATACTGTATAATAATTTGCTGAGATCAGGGATAACCTTGGAGAATAAATAGTATGAAGGCCTAGGTTTCCGTGCTAGGTTATTAGCACGACCAACAGCTACAAGCCCAAACTTGGGACCATAGCCATCTGCCCATTCCCAATTATCTGACATCGTCCAGAATAGATAACCAAGCACAGGCACACCCTTCAAAACAATGTCTATCAGTGCTGGAAGTTACAGATACATGACAGTAAGGAATGTTTCATTACAAATTAATTTAAGACCGGACCATAATGATTGCAGCATAAATGGCTAACAGGTGCTCCAGAATATATGGTTTCCGAATCAGATCAGTCTCGTCAGAAACTCCATTTTCAGTAATTATAAAAGGTATATTCAAGCTCTTGTATCGTTCATTAAACTGAATCAGGATACTGAAACAGCCCATCAGGATAAACACCACGACCAGATTCACTGTACTAATCATTGTCCACAAGCTTTAGACCAGGGCCTGATATCACCTCCTGCATGAAAATGGAGTAATCAACTCCTGTTGTTTACATGTTCAGATCATTTATCTAAGCAGCTAGTATTTAATTTACCTGCCCATAGTAGTTGATGCCAATAAAATCCAATTTATCACATATGCTATCAATGTAAGGGAAAAGGGTCAATGAATTAGCCAGTGTGACAGCAGCAACATCAAATAGACCATAGGGCCGTGTAAGCGATACATGATGAGCGACACCAACGATTGGCTTCCCTTTTACTTTTGCTGTAAAACACCACCAAAGAGTTCAACTCAGAATTGTGGAAATTCATGAGAAATTGCATTTCAAGTAACATATTATATACCTTTCTGAATGTATGTTTTTTTTAACGCACTTTCTGAATGTATGTAGTCATAGGCTTCTGCATGTGCAATGGCCATCCAATGTAATGCTTGGTTATATACACCAGTCGGTAAAGCAGATGTTGCTACTTCAATTGCATTAGGGTCTCCACCAGGCCAAGCACCAGCACAATAGGTCAGCATTACAAACACATGAGGTTCATTAAAAACCACCCAGTAGTCCACCAAATCAGATACACGATCAACAACAAGCCTGCACAGCCAAAACTAACTTTATTTGAACAGATTCATGTAATGGAAGAGTACTGACAGCCAGTTTTGACTGCTAGAAAGGGATTACCGCACAAAATCCATAAAGTACTTCACGGTTTTTTCCATCCTCCACCCCCCATACTCTCCAGCCCAAGGTGGAAGTGAGTGGTGAAATAGCGTAAGCATCACTTTCATTCCATATTCATGAAGCCTTTGAATGATCCATCTATACCGCTCAAGTGCTGCGAAATTGACCTAGAAAAGGTGATGGCTGTCTTATTCCACCATTGCAGAGAGTACAACACACTACACAGAGAAGAAAGAGTATAGGTGTTCAGAGAAAGCACATGAAGTGCAGACTAGGTTCCTAAGACTTACTGAACTCTTCAACTCTTCAGTTGGTTCCTTAGGCATTACCCTTGTCCAATCAATCCCCAGGCGGAAAACACTGATCCCAGTTTCCTTAGCAAGTTTCAACTCAGTATCGGGATCAGACCAAAATTTAAGCCTTTCTTGCCTGAACAAATCGGTACAGTTTGCCCACATGTGAGAGTCCATTGTGTGTAAGCAACACATTATGCAATACTACTGTTCAGGAAAAAGACAGCATCTAGAATATTAGCACATAACGAAAAAGTTGGAAGTGAGAAAAGACAAAATGCACTTACGGGCAAGGAACATTGTGCCAAGCTGCGACGTTGTGGCTGCAATTATCGCCAGAACCAGATTCACCACCCTCGACAAACATTTCAAACCCCCTGAGCATCGCCTCCATGGCAACCTTAAGAGGCTTCCTCTTCTCTCCATCGCCAGCCTTTTCGTCCCCTCTAGACCTAGAAGCCAACTGAGCGCCTCCGTCCCCTGCAGCCGATGCCATCACCGCGTCTGCTGTCTTATGGTCACACATGGCCTCCTTGTCATCGCAGAGGAATGCTCGACTGCAAACTGAAGCCAAGCATCTTCCAACCTGTCCTCGACATGCGCCAGCTTGGTCGCTAGCCCAAAGAAGAAATTGCCATCTTCTGCGAAGAACCAGACACACCATCAGGACTTCCATGTCGCTTGGAATTGACTGCTTTCCAATAATCAGGTATCTATTAACTGCTTCACAATAATCAGGTGTCTATAGGTCGGAATTTCAAATCTATGAAGCAAATACTCTGACTTGTGCAGACTAACAATGATGTACTGATTAAAATTGAATCTGATGCAGGGATACAGTACTCTGCACCCACAATTTCACATCAAACCTCCATGTTTTAGTTAGTTTCTTTGATTCTTTGATTAATTCACATCATCAGTTATCAATTACTCGTCTTAGATTAGAAAACGTAACCAATTCCACAACAAATTACCATATATACTGTATAAACGAGTCAGTTGTGTTGCCTGAAAACCAAAACTGACAACCGCAGAACAGCACCAATGCGGCCGTTCAGAACGATACCCAGAACCATTGGACCCAAGCAGTCGAAACAAGTACAAGGCGGATATAGGGTTCGAGAGGGGGGAGAGGGGAGCAGGACCTGCGGCCTCCTCGGCGGCGGGGGCGGCGGCGGAGTTGGAGGGGAGGGCGCGGAAGTCGGCGATGGGGTCGGCGGACTCGTCGATGGGGTTGGGGATGTGGCGGAGGTGCCGGCGCCGGTACCGCGCGAAGGAGGCCGCGTTGGCCGCCGTCACGGCAGCGGCCACCAGGACGGCGAGCCTCGCCGCCGCCGCCAGGAACGCCGGGAGCGGCATTTCCGCAACAGTGCGCCTCTCCCTCTCTCTCTCTCTCTGCCTCTCTCGCTCCCTGCGTGTGGTTTTATTTTCCTGGGAATTTTTATTTTTTTTCGGTGGAGAATAGATGGATGGATAGGAGTGGCGGGAACCAACGGCAGTACGGGACAGTCCGTTGGCGTCTTGGCGACCGACACGTGGCGAGAGGAGGTGGCGCGCGCCTGGTGGGGGTAGCGCGGGACCCACTTGGCAGTTTTGACCTGCTGCTTTTTGTAAATTTTTGCGGTGTTGTGTAGCCGGTTCTAATTTGAGGAGTTTTTTTTTCGAAAACCTGACAGCGTTGACAGTGTCTCTCAGTCAAGGAAAGAAGTTTATATGAACAGGAAAGCCTAGAAAGACCCAGCTCCTACCCCCGTGGGGGTTAAACGGTGAAGGCTAAGACGGGTCGGTAAGTACCGTAAAGTGTATATTAATGTCCTCTTTAACTTTGAAGGCCACTTGTCGAGCATCCATGACCACATCTTGAAAAATCATTCTGTTTCTTTACTTCCAAATGTTCCACATCATGTATATCACCACTCCGTTGAAGTGTCGTCGTCGCTCCCTTGGGACTTTGGTTGCCACTCGTTCCCACCATGTAATTCTGAGCTTTGTCAAATAATTTTTATAAATAAATCATTCTATGCTAACTTCGTAAAGTGGTTTTTCTAAGATAAATTAAGAGGCCGAGAGCTTAAAAAGGATGTTTTTCATGATTTAATTGTGACACAGATACTCATTTTACCTATACTTTATTTTATAGAATCCACAAAATGTTCTTTTTTGGCTGTAGAAAAAATCACTTCTACAATGAATCAAGAGCAGGAGAAGCTGTACCGAACAAGCTGTCAGAGGTGGTTTTGGTTCCATCGATTTTTACAAGGCAGTGGTGTCGAAGAGAGAGAATTTTTTAATTCAAGAGCAGGAAACCGGTCTCTGCTCTGGACCATCCGCGGAGGAGGAAGGAAGCCCGGTGGCTTCCCTTCAGTCCGCCGCCAAGTCGTAGTCGTCGTCGTCCTTCGTTAGTTTTTCGCCAGACTCCGCACCGCCGTGCCTCGTGGCCGCGCTGCGCGTGGCGACGGCGCAGGGACAGAGCAGGCGAGCCCAGGACCGACGAGGGCGGCAGGTCCTCCTCATCCGCACGCCGTGTGTCAAAGACGCCGGTGTTGATGATGCTGTTGGTAACCGTGCTTCCTCCGTGGCTCGAGATGAATGGGAGCAGCACCATGCAACCCACACATCCATGGAGCGGGGAAGGGAGGAGCACGGAAGATTTAATGGCGCTATATTTTTAGTGGTAGGCGACGTCTCTGTCGACAGCGAGACGCTTTTAGTGAGTAGTGACTTCATTAATTTCGAGATCTGCAGGCTCAGTCCTTCGGAGATGCTCATAGAGGTAGGGTTTGCGTACGTGTGTTTATAGGAGGTGAGTGTGCGTGCGTGTTTGACGTCTATGTTATACTGTACAAGTCTAAAAAAAAAGAGGCTTTATTGAAGTGCTCACCTCGTCAAATTGGAGGATGGCCGCGGCAGTCTCACCCACCTCCTAAAAGACCAGGGCGACGAGGACAAGGGTCCTCAAAACACCCGTCAAGGATCTTATTCCACTAGGGAACTTTACAAGGAGGGAGTGAGGGAGGGGAGGGGAGGAGGGGAAGGGGAACCGGGCCAACTGCCTTGTCGCCGCGCGAACACGCCAGGGAAGAAGGCTGGGGGCCGGCGGCGGGACTCTCAGTCGGAGGTTCTCAACTCTCTGGTTGTCTATCATTATCTTGTTATTTTGCGATGACTACGACGTTATCTTTGTCTTTTTAGAGGACATATATAAATGTTACAAAATATATAAATCTGGTTTTCTGCAGCCACATGACAGAAGAAACAGCGCGATGGCCGACGTAGAAACCAGAAACATGCAGATCAACTCTTTTTTTTCACACTGTATTTTAGCGTATTTGGATTGCGTTGCATTGGATTACGTAGCTAGCGTAGTTGCCAGTCGATTCCAAGACTACACGATTTAATTGTTGGGCTGGCCCAAATAGGCGATGAATGATTAGCATGGCATGTGAGCCCAATAGCGGTCGTCACAATTGTACCTCGCCGGCCTGCGTGTGACCACTTTGACTTTGGTGCCATTTGTCATTCTAGCCCACCGCGGATATATGATGAACCATCCACATTAATTAATCATTTGTTAATTAGATCTAAAGATGGCAAGTAATCTACATTCTAAATAGGGGTACCACGGTTCACAACACAGACCAAGCAACAGTTCCCCTCCCCTCTGCTTCATACAGACCAAGCACATATAGCGCGCGCTCGAGCTAAGGATTAGATGAAGTTGAGATTATTGGAGATTTGATTTAGGGCTATGTAATTTTGGACTGACTATATACATTCAAAGTATATCCTAGAGTGCTAGAGATAATAAATGAGAATAAAAACCGAAGCCATACTTGGAGCCTTTACCTGATTCGCCTTGCCCACCTCACCTTCGGTAGATGGCTTTCTCGGGATAGCTAGGTGTATGATCCAAACAACTAGCTCAACCTACAGTCTGTTCGTTTGGCTATGGCTTGTCGTAAACGATTGTAAATTTCCAGCCAGAATAGTATTTTTCTCTCACACAAACCAGCCATCAGTACTTCTTCACAAACCAGCAACGATACGAACCAGCCAACCACAGGCTGCTAGTTTCTTACTCGCCCAGCAAAACAGTCCCAACAAAAGCACCAAGCATGCCCCGAGTAATGACACTGATTGATGCCACCTGCCGGGACAAATGATTTATTGTTCATTGTTGCCTTGTTGGTACGCTGCTTAGGGGCCGTTTGGTGGCGCTCCTCGACCAGCTCTTGGAGCAGCTCCGCCTCGCAGCCAGTCAAACGGCTCCGCTTCACGTCGGGAGTCCCAGAAAATGCACTGAGAGGAGACGAGAGAGAGGGAGGGAGGTAGAAAAAACATCTTCACCCAGGTCTGTGGGTCCTAGCGCAGGACGACGGGCATATTTGCCCATATCGGGCCACACGGGCGCAGGGTCGCCCGGGGCAACTACCGCATGAGCACAGGTCGCTTGGGCCCGCCACCGTGGGAGCGCTGGTCGCTGGGGTCGCCGAGGGACAGGCGATGGCACTACGGGCACGTGGATGCTGCGGACACGGGCTCACCGGACATGCGGGGGTGGCAGCTATCCTTTCACTCGGAGAGATGGCGCGGCGCCGCCGGCAACCTGGGGCCTGGCACGCTCCTAGGCGTGGACGACATTAGGAGGTTGAAGAGTTGGACCACGAGCGACCAGATAAGGTAGGAAAAGAAAAGGAACAGAAAGAAAAAATATAAAATAAAATAAGTGGAAAAAATAAGAAAAATAGGAAATTTGAAAAATATAAGGGTATTCTAGACCACTAATTATCTATTAGTCTTAATTTTCATGTTTATTCTTAATTCATTAGAAACATCATACAAATTGAGATCAAAGATATAAATCATGTGTGCAGTCAAGTCAACTAAGCAGGGTACTATAGATACATTCCATATCTTTCATCCACTCCACACACAAAAAAAACCCGAAGAAGCTATTTTGCCAACAATTTTTAAAAAGGCTTCTACTCTATCAAAGAAACTATTGCTTCGGAGGAGGTGGAGCCGTAGCCGTTTTTGTTGAAGCCGGAGCCAAAGTCGTGTTTGAAGAAGCCGGAGCCGAACTCATGTTTGAAGAAGACCGAGCCGAAGCCGAAGTCGTGTTTGAAAAAGCCGGAGCCAGAGCCGAAGCCGTTTTTGAAGAAGCCGGAGCTGAAGCTGTTTGTGAAGAAGTCGAAGCCGAAGCCGTTTTTAGCAGCCGGAGACTTGCCAAACGGGGTGTTAGGCGGTGGCTGGAGCCACGTGTCGCCGAGGATGTACCGCGTGCCGACGAAGGGCTTGGCCTGCTCCTCGGTGAGGTCCAGCGCCCACCCCACCCTCTTCTTCTTATTGACGTCGGCGCCGGGGCCAAAGCACTTGAACTCGCCGTAGTAGATGCCGCTGCTCTCCGGCTTGGCGATTTCCCAGCCGTCCCAGCCGACGGGGACCACCTCCTCCCCCATCTCCGTGTACGCGTACACCACCCGAGACGAGTCCCCCCAGGCAAGGCCCAGGTAGATCTGGCCGCCCTTGACGCCGCCGATGCTGCAGTTCTTGAAGGAGAAGCCGGTGTCGATGGCGCCCTCGATGGACTTGGTCCGCTGCTGCGCCGTGAGCACCGCCACCTCCTTGACCACCGACTCGATGCGGCAGTCCTCGTAGAAGCTCCGGCCGAAGCTGAAGATGAAGTCGACGCTGCCCCGGATGAGGCAGCTCTTGAAGTAGTGCAGGCCCTTGTGGTCGTACAGCGTGTCCTGCCCGCCGTCGATGGTGCAGTTGTACATCTGCGCCTTGGTCCCGAACGTACAGCCGCATCGCCACCGCCTGGCCGCCCTTGGCGCCGGGCTTCGCCAGCGGCGCGTCGTTCCGGAACACCACGCCGTAGGCCGTGAAGTAGTCCGACTCTACCGCCAGCGTCGCGCTCCCCACCGTGCCCACGGGCTTGCCGTCCTTGCCGTGCGACGCCGCCGTGTCGTTCCAGATCACCGTGGCCGGGTTCATCGGGTCCGACTTGAACGTCACGAACGGCTTGCTGATGTTCACGAATAGCTTCTCGCGGAATTCCGCGCCGGGCTTGAGGTCCAGGATCACGCGCTTCGTGTTGCTCTCCGGGATCGCCTCCAGCGCCGCCGTGATGTTGGGATAGTCGCCGCTGCCGCTGGGGTCCACCACGTACGTCACCTTCTTCGCCTCCGCCTCCGCCTCCTGCAGGTTCTTGTCCATGGGCTCCTTGCCACCGTCCCCGGCGGACTTCTGCGCGTACAGCGCGTAGTTCTGCTGGTTGATGATCGCCACCCAGTTGCTGAACGCCCCGCCGCTCGCCGCGCCATGGTGGTCCGCCGATGCATGCCGACCTATCGATCGACCTCTCTTCTTCCTTCTCGATTGATGGAGTGGTGCCGCGGGTGGGGGCCGGCGGTTTTTAAGGTGGGTTCTCCGTGTTGACTGTCGGTTGGACCGCGCAGGTCGGCCATGGGCGAGCTAATCCGGGAGCTCCGATCCTCCGCCTCCGTGAGCGGATGCACGCTCGTTGCTGCCTGCTTGGTTCTGTGGCCATGGATGAGGATGCACATGCACGCATGCTGCCGGCTGCCGCACAGTTTGAAATTTGTGGGGTCGTGACAGAATCTCTCGCTCTCCACGGCCCACGATATAACAGGTCCATCGTTCATGTTCACGGCCCAACGCTGACCTGGAAAGTGTACCGGGCATAAACCCATGGCGTGGATAATAATAAAGAAGATTCAGGTTGTTCTTCATTTTTTTTTACGAAACATGTTGTTCTTCATTCGATTTGTTTGAATTTGGTACAACAATTTTTTTTATATAAGATAGATAACGGAAATCTTTATACTTGGTACTGTTGCATTTACATCTCCTTTGTTCCTTGAAACTAAAAGAACTTGTTATCTTTCTTTAGAGAGACACAAATGCAATCTCATACATGGGTTTAGGATGCAATCAAAATGTGTGCCGCCATGAACGTTGCGTGCATCGTGAGCCACTACTGTAAAAACAATTTTATGTCTCTAATAAAAATGCACCATAAATTTCAAAGGTGCTCATCATCTAATTTATAGATGCGGCCCAGCGAAACAAATAATCTTATAAAATCAATTAACAGAGGAAGGAAGGCGTACTGATCGAGCGTATCTAATTAGGTTTCTTGTGGTGGAACCTGTCCGCTGGGGTTGAAGTCCTCAACTTGACATAAATACGCATATTTTACTAGATTTTATACAAGTGGTCATGTTTTCTCTAGATTTATTCTAGGATTTAATAGTGCTATTCTATTAGTGGTATGTCACGTATCGACATCAAGATGTCGGCGGTGATTTCGTTAATCTTGAGATTTATCGGTCTAACTCAGTGTTTTGGAGGTGCACATAGGGGTTAGGTGTGTGTGCGTGTATGCGTTCACATGGCTACAGTGTGTCTACATGCGTTCGTAACGGCAAGGTTTACGTTTGTGTATATATAAGCACCTGCATTATTAGGTCTCACAAAAGAAATAGGGCGTGGCTAGCACCCGAGCGTGCAGACGCTAGCCCTGTCCGGACGGCCGTGCCACTGCCCGTCCCGCGTCCCGCACCTGCCCGCACACGTATGGCCTGCTGCATCTGCCTGCAAGCACATGGGGCCCGCCCCACGCCAGTGGGGACCGCCTCTGCCTGTGTTCGCTTCCCACGCCTAACATCGAGGCGAGACAACAGAAAGACGAGGAGGAAAATACAACACCCAATCTAGTTTTGAAACATCCAGATGCAACAATTATAACATACGTCTGAAAATAAATGAAACATTTAAAACATTGCGTCGTCTGAAACACTTGCAAAAACACCCGAAAAATACTTGAAATTATTGTAAACATATGCAATATGTAGATAAAACACTTGTATCATATGCGTGAAAACGTATGCAACATCCAGATAAACACACTCACAACATACATCGAAAAAAACAAATGAAACATTGAGAATAAGAGCTCGCAACATACGTGCACAACCATTGCAACATATGCAACATCCTAATCTACTTCTGCAACATCTGTATAAAACACTTGCAGCATACCTATGAAGTATCTGAAACGCTTGAAACATGCGCTTTCATCATGGGGAGGCCGGGGTCAGTCGATTGCAGCCATTGGGTCGGAGCCGGTGGCGAACGCGGTGCACGAACACCACTAGCCCGACGTGCGTGGGAGGGAGCGGCCCGACCAGCAGAGGTGGGTGCGTGTGACGAGCAGGAGAGAGGAGTGAGCGCCGCAGGCTAGGCACGTGCGACGGCAGCACCAGCACTAGCAGAGGCGGGTGCGCTGTAGAAGGCCACGGTGGGGCAGAGGCGCGGTGGAGAGCGGCGAAGGTGGGCAGCCACGCTCGGACGCGGTGGCAATAACGGTGGAGAGAGATGTGGTGGAGCACGCCTTGGGCCCGCGGCAGCGCAGCCACGGTGAGCATACTAGGCCGTTCGGCCAGCGTTGCGGCCCACCAACGGCGGCGTCCGACGGATCAAACGCCCTGGCCCCAGTATTTTCAAAATCAAAAGAAATAACATGCAGAAACCCATCTATAACCCTACCCTGTAATCCTTCTCTTTCCCAACTCTCTCGGTCACCAAACCTAGGCGTTGCCCCCTCTCAGTCGGTCTTGTCTCCTTCTGCCGAGTCCACAGAAAATCGAATCATGCTCTCCTCCGGCCAGAGCAGGAGCGACCACGGAGCAGAGGAGCCGTGAGTCGGCGACGGCTAGCGAAGGAGTGGGATGCTCGACCTACTCTATTAATCTATTTTTTGAGTTTTTGACTGCCACGGCAAATCCTGTTGCACGCCAGTATGCTACAGTAGTCGTAGGCTCGTAGCCCGTATATGTAGCCTCTCCTGCATCTGCATGTGTACTTGTCATGCAATTCGTTGATACGTACTACCATACACGGAGCAAATAAAATTGAACTCTCGCTGTACGTACACACCCAAGAAACTCAACTCGTAGACCACTGCACTGCACGGAGCGCCCAAATTCCAAACTCCGTGGGAAGAAAAAAGAAAAAAGAAAAAAAAAAGACAAATTCGCTTGCCGACAGGTCAGCCCGTGGATTCGGTGCTCGCGCCCCTTCCCCCGGACGTACGTATTTATACGTACCACCCACGACGACGGCGGTGGCAACAGCGACGTCGCCGCCTTCGCCGCCGCAGACGACAGGACGAGGATCGGAGGGACCGGCCGGGGAGCGACGATTGGCGCAGCTAATCACGCACTGATGGACTGTTAGACGACGCGCAGGAGGATAGTCGTTGTGTGTCTAGCTAATAATATGGACTAGATAGCTACCAATACCAAGTGCATGGTGTTAGGTTGACCTTCACCTGTTGGCCCAACGGTTAATTGGGTCCGTGATCCGCGCTCTGATTGGAGGTGTCCAGCCGTTCTCCTGGCTGGTGGGCCCCGTCGCGCAGCACTATAAAGAGGAAGGTGGGGCCGGGGCGCAAGGTACGAGGTTCACCGTAGCCGCCAGCGCCCCACCAAGGTTCCTAGCCCTAGTCCGATCTAGAAGGGCGCGCTATAAGCGATGGAAAGTCCACACCGCCTTCACCGTCGCCACTGGTCCGCGCCTACGCTACTGCTACCATCGACGACCTAGCGGGCGCCTACACGGTTTTCCCCACACCGACACGTCGCGGCCACCTTGTTGGCGACGCCAAAGCCGCGACTGCACTCAACAAGGGATTGTCTAAGTCAAGTTCTACCTACTGATCTGCACCTAGAGGTACTGCAAATCCTATTATTCTATTTTCTGTCCAACGGTGATGTAGAATTGATGCAGAAACATGTTGTAAGTTTTATTTTTTAACATACGAGATTACTCGGCTGCATGCCAATGGGCTGTCATGCTGGGGTATGTGAATGGAAAGGCTTGAGTCAAGCCAGATCAGAACCTTTTTTTGTTAGTTTACTAATTTTCTGATTAAATTAGAACCAACGGAAAAATTTAATTGGAATTTATGAAGTATAAGTGAATGATTTAGTCATTATGACTAAATTTTTCATTTCGATTTAGGGTTATATCAGATGGATGTAAAGACGGCATTCCTCAACGAGAATTTGTATGAAAACGTTTACATGGCACAAACTAAAGGTTTTGTCGTGGAAGAAAAATCGATAGTATTTGTAGTACCTATAGGTGCAGATCAGTGGGTAGAACTTGACTTAGACAATACCTTGTTAAGTACCTCATCGAGAGGTTCACCACAACCGCCAGCGCCCCACCGACGTCCTAACCCTAGACCGGTCGAGAGGGTGTGCTGTGAGCGACGAAAAGCGCCATCATCTTCGCCGCCGCCACTGGACCGCGCCTCCACGTCGCTGCTACCTCGGCGGCGGCGCCATGACCGCGACTGCCTCTTGATGAGGTACTTAACAAGGTATTGTCTAAGTCAAGTTCTATCCACTGATCTACACCTAGAGGTACTACAAATACTATCAATGGAGAGAAACACGATAATAAAATACATTCTATTAGTTCAGGAGCATTTCTTGGTATTTATCTACTCTCTGAAAAATTAATCATGTTGGTGTAAAATTTATCAGAGATTTAAACTTCAACCTTAAACTCATTATAATATTGTTATCATCAACGTTGGTCAGAAAATAATAATACCATAATTTAACATAAATAAATCAGACTACTCCTCCAATTTAAATTAGAGGATAAACATAATGGCCCCATTCGGCTTACTCCATATCCGGCTTGTTCGGCTTCTTTTTTCAGCCGGAATAATGTTTTTCTCCCACAACAATTCAGCCAGAACAGTGTTTTTCAGACAATTTCAGCCAAAATTCTGCCAGTCGAACGGGGCATTACTGAACCAAAATTAACTGATACCATTGATAGTATTTGTAGTACCTCTAGGTGCAAATTAGTGGGTAGAACTTGACTTATACAATACCTTGTTAAGTACCTTATCGAGAGGCAGTCGCGGCCATGGCACCGCCGCCAAGGTAGTAGCTACGTGGAGGCGCGGTCCAGTGGCGGCGGCGAAGACGATGACGCTTCCCGTTGCTCACAACACACCCTCTTGATCGGTCTAGGGTTAGGACGTCGGTGGGGCGTTGGCGGCTACGGTTAACCTCGTACCTTGCGCCCTGGCCCCCACCTTCCTCTTGATAGCGCTGCGCGACGGGGGCCCATTAGCCAGGAGAACGGCTAGGCACCCCCGATCAGGGCGCGGATCAAGAGCCCAATTAGCCGTTGTGCCAACTAGTAGAGATCAATCTAACATTCTCCCGTTTGATCTCATCTTATAACTTAAACTTAACTTACTTTATCTTTTTCTCATTCCATTGCAGATCAGTGCATAGAGCGTGCCTCATCGTCACGGTTTGTTGCCATTAGATTAACAGCTACAATGCACCTCTCTATTTTAAAACAGATTCTTAACTAGGCCCTTAGTATCCATAAATCATAGGCTTTCCCGTAAACCCATGTCGACTATGTGTTCTCTGAATGCACTGTATGATTAGCCTTTGGTAAGCGGATCCATAAGTACTTGCTTGGTACTTATATGCTCAATGCTTTCAAAATGATTCTGGATTTTCTCCTTTACAACATATAACTTAATGTCAATGTGTTTGGCAGCACAATTGACCTGTTGTCTTAGGAGTTAACTACTTTAAATAGTTATTGCTGTTGACTACCATTGTTAAATCCGGGTACATATTCCCTTAACCACTTTTGCCTGTTCCTGAGGCCTCATGACAAGCTATACTATGGTATGCATCATTGATGACACCACAACTGTTTTATTTGAGCTCTTCCACAATAATACTCCAACTGCGAGTGTTAGCAACTACTGTCAATTTCACTACACATCTCGCCAAAACTTTACTGTGCATACCGCGTCTTCGACCTCACCACCGGACACCCGTGTCACCGACACCGACGCCATGGACAACTCGTCTACCTCCAAGGCGACCGATGGTTTGCTAACCCCGTATCCCTCTCTCTCTCACTCTGTTTCCTCATACTAGTTCGTGTTCTAGGGTTTACCATATTCTAAATTCAAGTTCATACCCGCTAGATCTACTGCTAGTCGGTCATGTTAATCTATCATTGGTATCAAAGCCTATCTAGTGTGTAGATCCAGATCGGGGTAGAAAACCGAGTAGAAATTAAGGAGGTGATTCGATTCGATTCGGATCAAACCCTAACCCTAGAAGAATGGACGGAGAGGGGAGGGACCTACCCAGTTTTATCGCCGCCATCGCCATCGCTGTCGTGCGGGAAGAACATCCCACCACCACGCGCGAAGTCGTTGGATCCGCATCAGGTAGTGCCACCGCCGCCGTGAGGCTCCTCGCGTGCGCGCATGCGTCCGTTAAAGGGAGCCACAGCGGTGCCCGCTCGACGATGCATGCATGCGCTGGCGAGGGGTGCCCTAGTCTGATCTAGAAGGACGCACTGTAAGCGATGGAAAGTCCACAACGCCTTCACCGTCGCCACTAGTCCGTGCCTACGCTGCTGCTACAGTCGACAACCTAGCGGGTGCTTGCACGGTTTTCCCCACACCGACACGTCGCGGCCACCTTGTTGGCGGCTCCACGGCCGCAACTGCACTCGATAAGGTATTGTCTAAGGGGGTGTTTGGTTCCAGAGACTAAAGTTTAGTCCCTGTCATATTGGACGTTCAGATGCTAATTAGGAGGACTAAACATGAGTTAATTATAAAACTAATTACACAGACGGAGACTAATTTACGAGATAAATCTATTAAGCCTAATTAATCTATCATTAGCATATATTTACGGTAGCACCACATTATCAAATCATGAACTAATTAGGCTTAATAGATTTGTCTCGCCAACTAGTTTTAATTTATGCAGTTAGTTTTGTAATTAGTCTATATTTAATACTTTAAATTAATATCCATACATTCGATGTGATAGGGACTAAAATTTAGTCCGTAGAACAAAACACCCCTAAGAAAGTTCTATCCACTAATCTGCATCTAGACGAATCCTATCACACGGTGGTAGATAGGTCTGACGACGACTAGTCGCCGGTCACATAGCCCTGACGTGGATGGCAAGGCGGACCGACCGGCCCAGCGTGCCGTGACGTGGACGGCCGTCGCGTTGCGTCGTCGTCGTCTCCTCCGATCCACGTGTCGCCGTGCAGAAGTGGAGGCTCTGGACGGCGGAGGCCGGGACCACCCGTGGACTCTCTAGCTCCCAGAGTCCCAGTCCCAGCTGGATGGACGTGGACGGGGCGTTCCAGCACGTGCGTCTTCTCGCTCTCGCCTCCGTGCCATCCTGTACGTGGCCGCCGCCGCCGCCGCCGCCGCCGCCGGACGGGACGGCTGATGGCCGCCGGTGCATGATGAACTGCATGCGGCTCGCTTTAGGTGTAGGGGTTTGCAAAGCAAGCTTTGTTTCTTCCACATTTTGCAGCATTGACGGCGATGTGGATATATTGGGGAGCACGCAGGACCAATTGGATCGATCGATTGTTGCCGATGACGTAATCAACTAGTTGTCCAAAAGGTCCGAGTCATCCAGTAGTCGGAGTGCCACTCAATCATCAGTGCAGCTGCAGCTTAAGGTTATATTAATTAGGTAAAACAAATACACTACAGAGACATGCCATTATATATCATACAATTTCACATTTGGTCCTCTATCTCTCACTCTTCTAACATATACATATCCAATACAAAGGAAAAAAAAACAAAAAGGAAAACCCCTTGACAAGGAAGGAACAGAGTAGCTAGTTGCCACAAAAAAAAAGTTAACTACTGATGAAAGAAGAAGAAGAAAAGAAATCAACTTTCGCAGTGTGTATATATTATACAAATATATATATACTAATATAGCATGTAGCTCTACTCTCCTAGATAGTACTGTACATATGATAAAAATGTCAGAACTAATAATTGAACACGAAAAATAAATTGAAGAGCACGTTTGGCTTTTGGTCGCCTCCCCTGTATCGTACGTCCTGTCATATTACACCGTACCGTACCCCAATTTGAATTTGAATTTGAATACGTATGTGACTTTGACCATTTGATCCCAATGCACGCAAAAATGACGTAAACAACAACTCCCATTGTTTATCACTGCATCCTCCAGATGTCATCGAGGCTCCACAGGTTGTCCGACGAGGAGCCGGACAAGATGCCGCCGTCGGAGAAGCCCTGCACCCAGCCGGTGAGGTCGTGGTCGGCGGCAACCTGGTGCTGGAAGTGGTGGTCGGCGGCGCCGGCGGTGCAGAGGTGCTGCAGCGCGGACGCCGTGGACCAGAAGTCGTAGTGGTCGTTCTGCTGCTGCTGCATCGTCGTCGCGGCGCCCCAGTAGTCGTCGTCGGCCGGCGCCGTCAAAATGGGCTCCGCTGCGGCGGCGGCGTGCCGGGCGCCGTCGTCATGCGCGGACTCGGATGTGAGGTTGCTGCAGGAGGAGCTGCTGGTGACGGCGCTGCTGGGGGAGCAGCTGCTGCTGTTGCTGTTGCTGTTGCTGACGGTGGTGTCCAGCATCATGAGCCCGGAAGAGGAGGACGGTGCCGCCGTGGGCATGCCCATGATGCAGGGGGTCAACGACGGCGACGGCTGGCGGTGGTGCTGGTGCTGGGCGGCGGCGCGCTCGGCGAGGCGCGGCATCCAGAGGAAGCGCATGGCGTCCTTGAAGCGCTTGCTGTTGACGTCGCAGTTGAGCTGCTTGGCGTGCTTCTGCACCCGCGTCCGCCAGTAGTTCTTGATCTCGTTGTCCGTCCGACCTGGCAGGTGCGCCGCGATCTTGGACCACCTGCATGCACGCAACCAATATATATCTTAACTATTATCATTATTATTAATTTTGTTTATTAACAATGATGATGAGTATCAAATCAGAACGTGCCTAATTTGGAATATATAATAATAATGGTTGGTTGCCGCACGCGAGTACTATCTTTTGTTTCATCATCATCAGAATATATAATAATAATGGATGGATGGAATTCGATCGAGCTGGTAAACTAATTTAATGTTAGTTAAATTTGTAAGACAAAATATTAGCACTTAATAAGACTCCACGTGCGTAAGGAATTAGAAAGTAAGCAATTAAATTAAGCAGGTGATGTTGGTGGATAGAAGATGATCATTACCGGTTGCCCCAGCGGGAGTGGAGGTCGAGGATGAGGAGCTGCTCGTCGGCGGTGAAGTCGCCGCGCTTCAAGTCCGGCCGCAGGTAGTTGAGCCACCGCAGGCGGCAGCTCTTCCCCGTCCGCTTCAGCCCTGCACATGTATCGTATTGCCTTTAGAGAGAGACATTGCATACACCCAAAATTCATGCAAAAACAAAAAAAAAAACCAGAAAACTGATAAAAAAAAAGAGGGCAAGTAGAGAATCCCGTACATCCCTTCTTTTCGAATGCTAGTAGTACGACCACATGCGAGGACACACTCGATGTCCAAGTTGCAAATATATTTATTTGATTTGGATTCTGCACATTGCTTATGTCATGCATGCGAATAATATGCCTTAGCCGTGGATGCATGTGGGTGGAGGCAATGATTACTTTACTCTATATATCTATCCATCCATCTATCTCCGGTGGCGTCAGCCGTCAGCACACCGGAGACGATAGGGACGACGACCTGCACCGGCATCAACTGCACGCGCCGAGAATTTTATATTCGAATTCCATATTATTCGTATATAGTTTTATCAAACATGGCACGAGACGGCGACGACTAGAGTCCTCCAATAATCACCATCAAGTTGCCAACTTGCAGAACGCAAACAATCCACGAACTTAATCGCGATGGGCTTCTTCTCTTGTTTTCTTTTCAAGCTATAGGCGTCGAAGAATGAACGAAGCAGAGAAAGGAAGCACATAGGGCCAAACATGGGTGCATGCATGCGGAAAAGCTACTAGCAGCCATGAAGGAGGCGGCGTACGTACCGGCGGCGCGCGCGAGCGCGTTCCAGCGGCCCTCGCCGTGGTCGGCGATGTAGTTGATGAGCGTGAGGTCCTCGTCCACCGTCCACGGCCCGCGCCGGAGTTCCTCCGCGTTAGCCGCCTGCCGCTGCTCCTCCTCGTGCTCATCATCAGCCTCCCGCTCCTGCTTCGCCATCATCGGCGCCGTGGCGGCCGGCCTCGGGCCTGGCCGGCACGCCGCCACGCCTGGGAACATGCCTGCGCCGCCGGCGGCACTACTCTGCTGCAGCACCATCTCCATTATTATGTACGCCAAGAAAGTAGGAGTTGAGTAGTGGAGTAGGAGATCGATCGAAGGAGGTTGTCGAAGGAAAAGCGAGAGACGGAGTTGGGGAAGACGGGGAGTGGGACTCGGACGCCTTTTATAGGGTTTCCGTAGGCGAGCGAGCGGGCCAGCCGGTGGAGAAGACTAGAGCTCTAGAAGAAGAGAAGGAGGAGGCAAAGGGGAAAAAGAAACAGATGAGAGGAGGGGAGGAAGAAGACTGGTGGTCAGAGGGAGCTCACAAACTGTTGGGGTGACCGAGGAGTACGTGTGAGATGGGCTAGTGGGGTCACTCTCACTCGCAACCCCATCAGTCCAAGTTCAAAAAAAAAAAAACCCCCCGTCAGTTCAGGATGTTCTGTGGTAGCACCATGCATGATCTCCTGTGTGGTGGCCTGGGTTAGCTGGCAAATCTTGCATGCTAGAGCTGTGCTGGTTAGAATCAAGGCATGCTTATACATGTGTTACTTATAATATACTAATTGTGCTCTATATGGTTCTCATTAACTTTAATATTAACACTTGCTAAAAAATACTTTTTTGTCGGTTGTCAACCGGGGATCGTCGATATATGTAAATTAAAGTCGAGAGAAATTAAAATGACTTTCTAATTCGTTGGATTTTTTTTAAATTAAGGATATTAGTTGCGCATGTACAAGAATTACATGAAACAATGCGAACTGACCGTAGTAATTCTGCTGGTTTGGTTACTTGTCATGTAACCTGTCTACCTAGGCTCATCAAGTCTTCGATTAACATGGGTGCTCATATTTTTTTTGAATTTATTCCAAGATGTACATGTCGACGGCAAAGCATCTGTGGTAACTTCGTCAATTTCAAGATCTACCTGCTTGGTATCAATCTCTCGGAGGTGCTCTTAGGTGTGTGTTCGTAGAGTCTCAATCTCTCGGAGATACGCATAGGGACGGTGTGTGTATGTGTGTTCATATGGGCAAGTGTGCGTGCATATACGAGTGTTTGCGTCTGTGCTGTGATTGATTAACAAAAGAAAAAACTTTTCATGAAACAATAAATGGACTCTTTTCTGATGACCCCATGCATGTTTCTGCACACGTTTCTTAGTTTGCGGTTTGCACAGCTAGCTCAAACTGCCATGCACGCATGTTGTGTTCTGCAAAATACGGCAGCATGCTTATAGCCTCCTCATGCACCATATTGTTGGTTTAAGTCCAGAATTAGTGGGCATGCATCTGACTTATGTATCTGTACAAAACCGTTTTGGAACGAAATTCATAGCACAGCAGGATGTACAGAGAGGGAACGAAGAAGATTAGGGATGGCCGGGGATTAATTATCAACATGCCCATGTGAGCAGCAAAAGGACCACAACACCCAAAATTCCTCCTAAATCCCCTTCGTTTTCCAGACTCGTCTCATCTCTTTTTTTTTTATTTCAATTATTATTTCGAGACAGCAGGGCTGCATTTTTTTCCCTTTTATAATAATTAATTATTTGCACCTCTGGTAGGTCCCACTGCAAAGATTAAACTGACATAGAAAACTGGAGGAGGTAGCTACACTGATTTGCGCCACGAGATGCTGCGTATCCTCTGTATGTTCTTCAGATCATCGCATCTAACCCAGTTCTAGCAATAGATACGCTCCTCTCCAATGTGGAAAAAAGCTTGACCAGGAATTCCGACCTGGAAAACGCTTTGACCAAGAATAGCCGAACACTATGCACCACAGGATTAATCCTCCGACGGTGTGGATCAAGACAAACCCCTCCCAAAAAATGGGAGACCACAGCCACACACAAGTAGTCGGGTCCATTAATTTCAACAACCAACTGATGATGTAGTTCTAGATTCGGCGTCGTCTGCGTCCACGACCTTTGGACCTATGACCTATCCGCGATGATTTTCAATACGAAGAACCTTATCTTCTGAATAACAACATCCAATGCATGCATCCCCCTTGGCCTATTGGTGTGCCCATCATCCATCCAATAGCTTCCATTCAATTCCATGCATTCTTATAAACATCCCAATCACCCATCACTACACATGGTAGACAGCTTCCAAGTGATGGCAATGGCTTTATTTGCCTGTTGCGAGCTAGCTTAGCTAGCACCCGCCCATGTGAACAATGTGAGTTGTTGACACTCTGAGAGTGCGTCACTCCCACACGCCTCGTTTGTGAATGAATTGTGACACGCCCTTGGAAGTTGTGGCGGTAGCTGCCATGGGTGAAAGGGCGTCTCGTCGCTCCATGTTTTGCGGAGGACTTGTTGCCATCCATCAGCTGCCTGCACAAAGAGGGCGGTTTGATTAAACGGGCAGCACCATGCATGCATGATGGAGGTCGCTAGCAAAAAGCTGAGCGTGCAAGGTTGTGGAAAGGCCGGGAGTAGATGAAGATGAAGATGAAGCTGAAGACGATGACGATGGCACGGCACTTATTTTAGCTGGGTTGTTTGATTAGTGGATGATGGTGTGTACTTGGTGATTGGTTTGCCGAGATGACGATGCATCTGGCGGCGCCGGCGCCAGCGTCAGCAACAACAGTGACAGCCATCACCATGGATATGGCTAGCTGCTTGGGGCAATGGGAATTGACGTAGCAACTAGCAGCAGCCGCACCACCGGGCTCATATCGCTGGTGTATCTCTTAGGTGCCGTGTGACGACAAGTGGAATGGATATTTACAGAGATCGTACAGGAATTTTAAACAAAAAAAATCTTTTTAGTCATCCCGAGCTTGAAAGACCAAAAAAAAAATATATATATATATTCTTTTTCTTATGAATGAGTGCATGTTTCGAACTCGACAATTTTACAGGAATTGTGAAAAAAATTCAGAGGAATTTTACAGAGGTTGCTCTGTTTTTCCTTTCCCGTCTGATGAGTTCTCTGTTTCCTTCTTTCCCCCGGCCGAGGACACAGCAACCGTGCAGGAAGGATATACCGAAACTCCTCTTTGCTCTACGCTGAAGCAACATCTGCAAATACGTATTTCTTTCTTTCGCAAAGTAAAGTAAAGCAGCTAGCTGCAAAAAGCCTAAACCACTGGATTAATGTCGCTTCGTTTTTTTTTCTCTTTTATTGTATTTTACTTGTGTTTCAGCGACAAAGCAAGTGTGGGGTGGCTCCTGAAGTCTCTCGGTACGTGGCGACGGATCCGAAAGACTGGTCGTACTACAGGATCTTTTTTTTTTGTTGAGAAATAGACAGGTTGACGTATTTCATATACAGCTTACACACACACAAGCGCACGCCATTCAAATTCAAAATCCGTATCCTACGCGCGGAAAAAGGTCACCCCCGGGACAGGTACACATATACGTATGTATGAGCCGAGACAGCGACGCCGAGGCCGTATACATCAGTGTCACGCCGGCCCGTATTCCAGGTTCACCCTCGACTTTCTACGCTCACTGCAATTCTAAAACCCCATGAAATAGTCTAGTATACATTCTGATCTGAGCACAAAATACAGGATGCAAGAGCGTCAGTGTGATGGTCAGTCAGTCAGTGAATGAGAATTCGTTTGGAAGAAGCTACTGCCCAGTTCGCACCGGAGGTGTCCTCTGCCCTCGTGCGCCGGCAACAAACCAACAACCGTGGCCGGCCGGGCTTCCACGGCGGCACACGTTGTCGTGCAGGCTACGTGCCCCGGCGGCGGCGCCATTGTCGTGCAGGCTACGTGCATGCTCCGGCGGTCCGGTCTTCCGTTGACGGTTTACCGGCTGGTAGGAAAGCATCTAGTGATCCCTGCAGCAAGACAAAAATGCGTGCGGGAATGACCGGTGTTTCAGACGGTTGCGCGGGTGCAACGCACCAGGACGAACGGTAACATCAGTATATTGTTTGTTTCGTTTCAGACAGGGAGCGATTAGTTATGCAAAGGACGAACAATGGTACCGTTTGTTCTTTCAGACAGGGACGACCAGCAATAGATGAACAGTGATGTCGTATTTTCCAGGCAGGGAACGAACAGTTACAAGCATTTCACATGTGCCCCGACAACGTACGTTCGTTGTGTTTCCATCGTTAACCACGAAAACGAGCGAATGTTCAACGAAATAGCAGCACTCCCTCCGTCCCACAAAACTTGATGCATTCCTTTTAGGTAATGGCCAGTCGATAATAGTTTCATTTCCCTTTCACCTGAGTTCGAACAAAATTCTGAAGGAGAATGCAGCGAGTCTCGCAGCGACATTAAGGCTTCTCCGTCGGCTCTCGAAGCCGTTTAGAGCTGTTTTGTGCCACAGAGTAAAACTAAACGGCTTCACCTGCAGCGGCGGAGCTAGAATTTTTTAGAGCCTGGGCGAGACGCAACATAATGCTAAGGATTTGTTTGGCAAGTTTTCGGGTCCTCTAAAATGGCTCCGGTCCTTATGTGGAATGTTTTTTTTTTGAGCTAAGCTCTTTTGAAAAACGTTTGGTAAAAACAACTCTAGTGATAATTTTATAATAATTTGTATTATGTTTGTGAGGAGGAGCCAAGAAAGCCACATTTATGCACCTCCAACTCCCCTATAATAAAAAAAACTCCTACTCCTCCGGGCTCCTGGGTAGTGTAGTGAGTTTCCAGCTAGTGTAGTGGGTCTTGACGTCTACCACTATTATATCCTATTTGTATGGGATTCTAAAATCTGGATTCGGTGTTTTTGGATTCTATGGCTGCATGTTAGAAATCCTCTAGAGAATTTTAGGTTGTTTGGATGGAATTCTTGGATTTTAAGATTTTCTATTCATATTCTTAAAATCCCTGTGGATGATCCAGACGTTATCTATGGGCATGTATATAAAAAAATCATTTCAATGCAAGTTAGCCTGCATCGCCAACGCCTTCAATGACGCGCAGCAGGTGTGCCCTTACACGATGGACGTCACCGTCTACTACGACCCCTGCTACCTCCTCTTCTTTGTTGTGAACTAGCCTTTTTTTTTGACTTAGATGTGCTGGCACGTGTTCACAGCCAGGTAAGCCTGGGCACCGGCCCAGGG